CCCCAAAACCCCAAAACCCCAAAACCCCACGATGAAAAATTTATATTACGCTTGTTAGAGAATACTAAATAAAAGAAAATAAATAATAGTATTAATATAAAGAATTTATGGAACTTTTACCTGATCCCTGTAAAGATAGAATGGTTAAGGCCTGCCCTCTACCACCTCACAAACCTTTACCAGAAACCTTAATGTATCATCAAAAAGGTATACATCCATATTCCGTTATCATCAGCTTTGAATCTGACAGAAACCAATAATTTTTGTAGGAGATGAAAAGGGAAAACCAGATTGGAAAATGCTAAAGGAATTTTTATTGAAGGAAGGACCAATGCGTAAAGATCAGGTGGTTAAACTTCTCAAGGATGGAATTGCTATGCTGAGTATATTTAACGGTTGTTAACAAAATATTGGTAGGCAAAGAAGCAAATCTTGTGAAAATTGGAGAGCCGATTGTAATCGTTGGAGATTTGCACGGACAGTTTTATGATTTAGTCCACATGCTTGAGAAAGCTGGAGATCCTTAAGACATCAACTATCTGTTCTTGGGAGATTACGTAGACAGAGGTATCTATGGTCTTGAAGTGGTTCTTACACTTTTAGCTATTAAGGTTAGTTGCTTTTTTATAAAGATAGCTTTTTTGCGTTATTTACTGAATTTCAAAAAATAATATTTCTTTTTTAGATGAACTACCCTAAAAATGTTGTTTTACTTAGAGGAAATCACGAAAGTAGAAATATGACTGAAAACTTCACATTTAGGGAAGAAGTCATTACCAGATATGATATTGAGACTTATAATCTGTTTATGGATCTCTTTGACTCAATGCCTATTTCAGCCATTGTGGACGGCAAGTATTTCGCCATGCACGGTGGTATATCTCCAGAGCTATCGAAATTGGACTAAATAGATAAGATTAATAGATTTTAGGAAGTGCCTCTAGATGGATTATTCTGTGACTTGCTATGGTCCGATCCTATGGCAGATGAAATTGCAAATGCTAAGGATTATATTGATAATGAGGAAAGAGAGTGTTCATTCTTGTTCGGTAAGAAACCCACTAAGAAATTACTGGATTAAAATAATCTCATGAGTATCTTAAGAGGACATTAAGTGCAGATCGAAGGTTATAAAATGCATAGATGGGACGGACCTGCTTCTTTCCCATATGTCATTACAATTTTTTCAGCGCCAAATTACTGTGGATACTACGAAAATAAAGCATCAGTGCTAATCATTGATAAGGGTAATCTATCCTTAAAATAATACGATGAAAGTGAGCCACCTTACAGACTTCCAGATAATATGGATGTTTTTTCATGGTCCATTCCATTTCTATCTGAAAAAGTCGTTAGTCTTTTGTATCATATTGTTAAGAAAGGTGGTGATGATCCTGATGAGGATGATATAGATATTGGAAAAGCATTGAAAGGAGGCAGTAAGTTATTTGAATATTTATACATATATAGCTGAGGAAAATAAGTAAAACAGGACATTGGTAATGAAAGGTAAGGTTCGTTCTATTGGAAGAATGAACAGAATGTTTACAACTCTCAGAGAGCAATCAGAGGTACTATTGCAGATAAAGAATATGTCACCAGATGGAAAACTTCCAAGAGGTCTACTTTTAGAGGGCAAACCAGCTATTAAAAATGCGTTGAAATAATTCAACTTGGCAAAAGAACTTGATAAGATTAATGAGAAAAGACCTAGGAAGAAATGATGAAGCAGTTGCAGACCAATATTATCATCTCATTTAATATGCAACACGGGTGGGCTTCCTCATAGACATAACCTCTTAAGTGTCTACTTAATATATAATTCTTAATCAATTAATCTTATTATTAAATTATATACTATAAAGTAACTTTCAAATTCCAAACAAGCATATATATATATATATCTACGTATCAAAAGAGACATGATCATTTAGTCAAACTTATATCTTTCCCTAACCAATATTCTTGCTGATTTCAAACCTTAGTTTTTGAGACCTATTGTGACCTATCTTCATCTGAATAGCAATACCAGATAATATCTTTTTTAATTCTAAGTATTTCCCCATAGTGAATTCTATAGAAAGATCCCTCAAACTCATAAATTTACTCAGGCTCTTTCTTTAAATACTGAAGTAGTTACTCATCACCCCATTGCAATACCATTATTTCTCATAGTCCTCTTTCCTTAATGTAGCTTGCTGCTCTATAAGATATGCATTTTTAGATAGAAATTAATGAATGATTCTTTCCAATACTACACTTCCTCATTAGAACACCTGTAGAGCTCTTAATAACTTATTAACGCAAGAATCATATGCAAGTTGGCGATTAAGAAAACATGTATTCTACGAAATAGTGTGATAAAAAGAGAAATCCTCTCAGTAAAAGCATCATTAATAAACTTTTCCAACAATCCTCTGTTTCAAACAATAATTCAAGTTTTTGTTGTTCTTCTTGGTGAAAATCTCTCAACTAAAATTAAACCTCATATTTTTATGATACTCAATTCTTATCATCTTTGAATATTTTTAGTGATATTTGAGTAGTCTAGTCAACAATAATCTTTTCCAAAGTTGATGTATTCACAAGAATTAGCGAGTCAATAGGGAAAACAGAAATATGTTTTCTTTCTATCAGTGCATAATGTAATTTTAAGTCATATTTAATCTAGTCATTTTTACAACTATAGAAGCCTCACCGTTGTTTAATAGTCGAAGTACCAGCATTGTAAGTGCCAGAAATGTTAAAATAAATTATCCTTGTATTTATGAGTTTTAGTTAACTTTAATCTATAAAAGTGGTCAATGGAACGCTATATGAATTACTGAACAAGAAAAAGGCTATAACTAGTTTTGAATTTATCTTTATGTAAATTGATTTTTCAATTAAGTATACTGGAGAAATCATTGTGATAATATAAACAAAATATTTGGATCTTTCTTAATTTCACTCTTATTTCTGCATAATACAAATATGGGGTTTTGGGGTTTTGGGGTTTTGGGG